TTTCCTGTTTTTTTTTTGCTAAATTATATAAATTAAAGTATTTCACATATCTCATGAAAGAGAAACGGGAGTGGCATATTGGTCAAGGCCTCTGGACTGTGAATCCGATGATTTATGTTCCTATTGTCGCATATATACACCATGCATTTTCTTTTGGTTTGTTTGTAATTAAGCACAAAGTTATACAATGGGCTATATGTGCTCTGCCAACCACGGGTATAGAAACCCGGTTTCTAGCGTTGTAAGTTCGCAGACACACCGCTGTAAGGGGGGGGGGTTCTTTTGGTACGAGTGCTTTAAGATTTCGAGTGATGGTCAAATCTTTCTGTTTGGTCAGAGTAGCTCAAGAGTTGGCGGTGGGTGCTGTTGATTAGCTGCCTTTTCTCTAGTCCATCTGTTCAAAATTGTATGTGTAGCTTTGTGCAAAATTTTAATTTTTGTTTATTTGTTGTAAAGCACGAAGATTAAAAATGGGCTATTTGTAATCTATCCACCGTTGGTATCTAAACCCGAGTTATAGTGTTATAAGCCTTTGACTTACCGCTGAATCACCGGGGTAGGGGACAAAAATCTGAAACAAACAATCTCATGAAAGGAGTTTGGTCGACACGTTTTAATAATGTTTTTTCCTCAAGATACAGGATGCTACAAAAACAACAAACATGATTTTCCAAGCCAGTGATTTATCAAAAATCGCCCCCCCCCCCATGGGTAATGCATTTAGTTAGTTTCTGAACTTACAACCTCAAAATTAAAGGTTCGATTCCTTGCAGATGGGCGAAATACCAATTGTGCACCTTTGCACTAAGAAAACGGCAATGTCTTTTAAAAAAAATCTACAACAAATTATAGTGTTCGATAACTCGAAATGTTTTTGAGTGATAACTTTTCTACTTTGAAACAGCCTTGTTTGTGGAGGTGTGTCAACTTCTTAAAATCAAAAAGACCAGGACAACAGCCATTAATCCCTCTTCTTGTGTAATGGTGGAGAGATACAACCTACACTTTTAAATCAAATAACCATTTATGGGAATGAAGGTCAGAAAATATGTAATGAACGTCTTCCATGTCAATTCATGAGTTGTTGAGCATCAATGTATGAAGCTACAGGCAAAACACCACCATCAGTAATGTTTAAAGAGAGAACTCAAAGTGCCATTGGACCTTTTGTAATCACATATGGAGGATAGTCACTCAGCAGTCTTACACAGTATGCAGTGAGACTAAGAAACACCAGACATCACTTTAATCAAGAAAAAATGAAAACAGTTAGTGATAAGAGGAAAAGAACCTGTGATGTAAATGTTGATAACAGTGGCCTCAGAGTGAAATGGTAAGTCTGAAAATGAGAGAGGAAAATCTCCAAAGTAGATGTTGGGAAGGGTTCATTGCCATAGTCAAAAGTGTCAATGATATGGTTAACAGATTCCAAAAGACAGGCAGTCTAAGGCAGAACTCATCCGCTATGATTGTTTTTGGAAGTATGTCAGACAGATAACAGCCAACTGGTTAACCTCGGAGATGATTTCTCAGAGGTAAAACAAATTGCTGAAGAGCCCAAGGTTACTGTTGGAATAAATTTTAGATTCATCATGGATGGAGCCACAAGTGGATTAGTTTGAATTTCATGCAAAGCTATTTGAGGACTACCTGTCCCTAATTTAGCAGTGATAAATTATAGAGAATGTAGATTGTCATCACCACCCACTACCAACTCTTGGGCTACTCTTTTACCAATGAATAATTGGAATTACCATTACATTATAACATCCCCATGGCTGAAAGGGTGAACATGTTCCATGATGGGGATTCAAACCCACAGGTGACAAATTGAGTCCCTAAACCAGAAATGAAATTCCTTGACCACCTACCTGATGAGAACTCCCCTAATGAAAGACAGCAAATGTTGATAATGTACAAGAGGTCATTCCATAGGCCACAGGAAATAAAACCATCAAATGTACTTTCAAGTAACGTTAAGTGTCAAGATTTACTTTGTTAATTATAGAAGTTTAATGTACCTTTGTTTTCGTCTGTAATAGGATTGTTCAAGGTACTTTAAAACCTACAAAGGCTGTGATTTTTTTAAAAAAGTTGTATTGTTTTTGGCAAGGGGGGGTTTATAGCCTCACATAATGAATCATAATTAATATGGCTCTTGAAAGTTCCAGGAAATCATTTGAATGACATAAAATACATGTTAATGGAGATTAAAGGAGATTCTTGGTTAACTGTTCTGCCAGCTAGTTGGGGATTGTAAATTCTGAGGTTGTGTTTTCAACAAAGTAATAGAGATACAAGAATCACTTTACATACAAAAGAAGTTAGCAAGAAATATTGTTTAGCATTATCCTTGAAATTAGGTCTATCTTCAGTTACATGGACCAATTAGAAAAGTAAGTTTACATTTCACACACGCACATAAAAAAAACACATTTTGTTGACTCATTTTATGTTTATACATCTACAATTGATGAAAAAAAAAACGAACTCCATAACATCTTAGTTGTTATAATTGTTTACAAATGCCTCAAGATATTCATTGAAGCTTATATTCAGAAAAATACACTTTAATTATAAAAAAATTGGCTTGAATTTACATTCTCCTTTTCACCAAATAATCCACCAAACAACAGAAACTGTAAAACCATTTTCTTTGTAACGTCACAAACATGTTAACACATTTTTAAGGGATATGTTGTATTAATCATTAGTTTTAATGATTACACTTATGTAAGCTATACCATATACAAATATTGATTAATTAGTTTGTTTGTTTGTTTTTTTTTGAATAATCTGACAATCTTTTCATACAATTATGTTTCAGTAATACATTTTATTACCACAAAAATACATTATTGGGCTGTGTTTGTAACTTTAAAATATCAAAAACAAAACAAAAAACAATGCTTACTGATTTATCCTGGTGGTAATATTGATATCTGGTGTTACTTAAGGCTACAGTTTTCATGCAGAATCAATCACATATAAAAATAGTTCTGAATAACATGGTATCATATAACTTAATATCCGAGCTCTTTGCATACAGAATATAAATGTAAAGTAATCCAGTTTTAAAGAAAAAATAATTATGAACAACAAATCAATTTGTACTTGAGAAACTGAATTGAATACAGTCAAACAAATTTATTTAACAGTGTACAAATAAAGTAGGGAAAACTTAAGGTGCAAAACATAAAAATGACAAAGCTCAGGACTAAAAGTAAGTTTACATTTCACACACACACACACACACACACAAAAAACACTTCATAAAGACCCATTTTACATTTATACATCCATGACTGATGACAAAAAAAACAAACAAACTTGATAACATCTTAGTTAATATAATTGTTTATAAATGCCTGAAGATATTCTATTAAAACTTAAAAGTATACACATAAAAATGTACAGTATATATATACGAGAAAAAAATATAGGACATTGAAAAACTTAAATTCTATATTTGAATTGAATGAAAAATTATATTACGGTAAGGATTATGATCCTGATTAATTGTTGATCAAATTCAAAACTAAAGTAATTTTTCTATATCAAGTTTTCTTTCCACTTATAACCATCATTTTTGGGTTTGTCCAGGCAAAGACCACATTCAAAATCCAGTATTAGAATTTATTACACAGGCCTGCGATGATTTTATTGTCTTGAAATTTTTACATGTTCTATGGTAACTCCTGTACACTGAATCTGAAAATGATATCCATTTTTCTACATCATGTACAGATTTTTCACAAAATATCATATGTACTTTTATATAAGTGAATCATTTTCATTGAAATCAGGTCACATTTTGTTAGGCTTAAAATGTTGACAACCACTGGCTATAGGTTTCTCTAGACCAATTGTGACACGAGTCTTATCGATCCTTCTAGAACCCAAACATAATAATGAAAAATGTTCATTGTGGTAAACAAAATAATAATTTCATCAAATAAGAGTTTTTCTTCTTCCTGATTTGTAAAAAAACCTTACATAATTTATTTTT